CTTTTACAATTGCTTATTTCCTAGTAAACATCTGCATTAAAAATAAATACTACATACATGCTTAATAATTTGCTTTGCAGCTTTCACTTTTTGAATACTTTATAACCAGCATTCAAACCTATGTTCTAAAAAAATTCTATTCTATATTCTTTCAAATACATGACCTTAGTTTATTTTACCCTCTCTGTAACACTGAAGTAATAATTTTGCCTCAGTTGCTGCAAATCAAATGAAATGGAAAATTCTACATTAATTGACAATAAAGCATAAAAATTCAATATACAAAACTATAGAAAAATTTGTTGCTATATGCTGACTCTAAATTGTGGGATGAAGAAGTCTAATGCTTTTTCAGATATTTCTTTAACCTTGTCAAATATGATTTTGCCCCACACATACACGATAGTCTAATTTTACTCTGCTCTTCTCAAATGTAGTATTGAGATACCAACTTTATCTAATGCACTATATTCCTAAAAATTACCCAAGCACATCTTAAAGCCAACACCTGAAGCTATAATATTTTTTTTTTTAATAGCGGCAGTTGAGAGCTGGATTATTTTTTGAGAAGAGGCTACTTCTTTAGAAGTGAAGTCATTTAGAAGTCTTCCCTTGGAAGATTTTAAACTAGATTAGCCCATGGATTCTTCTTAAAAAAAAACAAAACTGTTCTACATATTAAAATAAAATACACAATTCATCTTAACTTTTTCTTTTACCAAAATGGAATAGACAGTAATACTGTGCTAGAAGCACTTTGTGTGTACAGTGGTACAATCACTTACTTACTCTGGACTATGGTGCAAGACGGAGGGCAAGCTTTATCTATTAGATATTGAGCCATCTGAAATATACTTTCTCATCCATGTTTCTACTAAATATGGTTAAGTTCTAAGAGGAGCTATTTTTAAAGATTTGCATTAGTGAGTTATGGCCTCCCAAAAAAAAGGAGATAGTTAGGAATCAAACAATTCCTTTGCAAGATCTATCATTCTAAGTGATTCATGCAAGACTCTAATAAAGCATTCAGGAAACCCATTAAATGTCTGAACTATATACAACTTTAAAATATTCACAAAATGAAACAAAAGAAAAGCATCATTACATAAATGTTTTCCAAACCAAATGGTAGAGGTCACCTCTAAAAACAAATATATCCTTTAAAATTATTTTCTGAGTTTGTTAGAAAATTTACCTTTCACATCAAGCTTTATAAACTCCCAAATTTCAAAATATGTCTTCAATTTTAAGCAAATATTTTCAATATTTGATTACTCCTAAAGATTGAGCAGCATATTGTTATAGGTACCCTCTGGTTTCACAATATTTTAGTTTCAAGTGCACATTATAATTCCTTTCACTGAACTCTCATTTCTTTTAAAAAAGTTCTGTGCCTCCATGCCTTACATCAAACCTATCTGCGTCAAATATAAAACATTAAACCCCCTATTTTACTACTATTCCTCTCAAGACTCAATTACAGTTCATTTGAGTAAAAAGATATTCAAAATCCACACTTTTCTCTAATTACAGATATAGCTTCCTTACTGTCATTTATAATGTTACAGAACAGACTTTGCCTCATTTGAGTAAATGTTTTCAATTAACTTTTCACTGTTCGACTAATTTGTAAATCGTGACTGTGCCACTCACTAATCTTGTAAAAGGTAAAAATTGCAGAAGTATTTACTTCAATAAAACTTACACAGATGTATATAAGAGAATTTATAAAATAAATTCACTGTAAATCCTAAGAAAAAAAAGGTGTATCACAAAAGGATCACACGACTGATCATTTTTTGTAGACAAAACAATAAAACCTACACTTTCAGTTCTAGTGCATGTTACTATACTGAAACAGTCTCTCTCTATAATCTGACATCAGTGATTAAAAAAGTGCTGTCTTGGCATGTCTATAATATATACATATGGCAACTATTAGCACATATAAAGTAGGGAACATGTCAATATGTTTTAGACAAAAGCTAATAATTAAAGATATTGTAACTTTAATCACTTTTTTTGGTACAAAACTACAGTCACTAAGGCAAACTTCAGCCAATTAATGAACCATTATAATTTATCGTAATGAAATGTACTTTTTTAGGAAGAATTTTAAATCCTTCCACAGGCAATTATTTAAAGATTTTAGACCATATGAACAACAGATTAGGTAAAGACACTGCACATATAAAAAACAAACCCTCAGCCATCCAATGCTACACACAAGCACCTAAAACAGAGATTAAAAAAAAATGAATCTCCATCAGTCAAACAGTAATAACTAGATAAACAATTTAGTATTTTTTTATTCCAGATTCATTACTAAATACTCTTCTGCATTCTTTGAAATAAGAAATAATTGCTTATATTTCTCTAATCCTTACTTATATAGCAACCCCAAAGTGAGAGAGCCACATAGATTTTAGAAAAACCTATAGTTTTTAAAGTAGATTGTTCAAGAGTCATGTAACCAGCCCTGTTTGAGGTAACACACAGCAGGAAAAGCTATAAGGCCCATCACAATTATTCCTTAAATATGCAGTTTCAGCAGTTGCATATTTCCATTTAACTTAGTGATCAACTTTCACATTCAGAAAAATCTCTTCTATAACATCCCCACAAACCTCCCTTTTCTTAGTTGCAGATGGGTAGGAAAGGGTGAAAATAAAATCCAGCAATTACAAAACATTTGTTGAGTGAAGAGCAAAGATGATGACAAAGATCACGAGTTTTGGCTTTAATAACAGACAGTGCCAAACAAAATGGGTATTGAAAAAATACTTTTGTCTTCCCTCTTAAACATCTCTTGCTTACAAGAAGCCCTACCAACTTGCATTTAAGGTAACACTCTATTTCTATTACCACAAAGGAATCTTGGATGATGGTACAGGCAGGAGAAAGAAGCGGTGTAGGCAGAAAGTCGCTTCTCTTACTTTGTGATGATGTAAGAGAAAAAAGGATTCTGAAAACTTTCTCTGACATAGCAATGCTCTGCGGATCACAGCCCTACACAGCTTTGGCTGCATAGCAGAAAGCCTATATGGTAGCTAACATCTTATTACAGCCCCTGAGTCTACTCTCATCAAAAGAAATACACCTTTAAGAACCAAAAAATAATACTAAAAAAATCCAAATTTACTAAATACTTTACCATCATTTAGTAATTATCAAAAATAAGTCTCCACAGCACTTTAGAAGCAGTGATCTCCTAACTTGGATAAAAATGCACCTATTTATAGGAATTATCTGAAGAAAAGCAAGTTTTAAATTCATAATCTTTTTTAAAAACTAATACGGAAAATAAGGCAGAAGGTTTAAGAAAATATTTTTCAGAGAATTATGAACAAAGGATTAGAACATAAGAATCTCCTTTTCTCCTCCCATGCGGGTTTACTATTCTGTTTCCAAGGCTAATTATGAGGATGGTTTATGAGAGAATTTGTTGGGTTTTGGCATGTAGTATGCTTATTTTTGTCCCATCTAAATTACTACTAAAATCTTTTCATGTACTAAACAAGACGTACCACTAATTTTCTACCATGTTTTTTAATTGCAACTTAAATATACAGTTCTTCACGGCATTTTCTCATCTTATCCTTTATGTCCTCAAACATGGTATTTAACACTTCTAGAAAAAGCCTGGAGAAGAAAACGCATTCACTGCCCTTTTTGCAGTACGTGTTGTTCCCAGGATTCCTTCCCAAAACAAAATGATCTTCCTGCATCTTTTATTTCTTGCCAACAATAGGGCTGAAGAAAGCCCTTTATCTTGCTGTGGGCAGTCAAAAACTGTTGTCATCAGTTTTCATCAATGTAACTGTATCAGCAATCACCGTTACATCCTGCCTCTATTTCAGAGTCTGGTACTGAGCAGGATCTAGGAGTACCTAACAGTAGTAGCTTGTCTATGTAAGAGAGTGTCACACAGTTACTGATGAGCTCATACAGGCACTCTGCCTCCAATTTGGAAATAAAAATACAATCTGGCACACAACCCTTGAAATTGTATCAACTTCTACAGTAAATCATATGTTGTAATTGATATTAAAATCAGCTATCCTGAGTACAAGACACCTGTATGTAGGACACATCCTGATTCTAAAGCTATGTGTTGCTTGCATATATCATTGATTCTGATTTATGTTCTCATAACTCGGATTCCTTTAAATAAATTAAAAGATGTATTAATCCTTCCAGTTAAAAACGACAATTCTATCTGAGCTAAAGAGGAGATCTTGTCTAGAAAATCTAGTTGAAGCATACAGGGCCTAAATACAACATTAATTTTTACCTGAACTTGTTAATGAAAGCTCAGTAGATTCAATTAAAATCTGCTTTCTAATTGCTAAGCTCCATTATTCTTCCTTCAAGAATTGTGAGCAGTTTCTACAGCTTCACAAAGAAGCCACAATGCCAGCTATAAAGTCAAAATCAGCAGAAGTTGTGGTCAACAGTAGCTATTCAATGGCAGCTATTCTATTAGATTTCTGCACATACTAAAACACCATTCAACAGATGGTTTTTTTGTCCACTTCTGTTTCAGATAAGAAATATGATTATCAAACCCTTTCATGATCTGCATTAATACATTTTTAAAAACATAAATTCCTCATAATTCACATTTCAGCTCATAAAATTGCTAATGATGCTAATTTAATTACTTTTAGGATGCTCCTGTAGCTTTATATCATTAAATTGCTGGTTTGTTTATCTTTCTGACCTGCTCTAAAACATTGACAATTCACCCTGACAAGAGAAAATTAATTCTCTTGTGTTAGAACAACAGATTATCTTGGTTATTTACATCTTAATCTACAGTGTTAATGTGTTTGGCAGGTCAATAAGTGAAACAAGTCAGTATTTCTGATGTAACGTTTCCCCTAAATAAGTTTTTGTTTGTTTTTTTTTAAAAAGCACATTTTCTTTGTTATAATCACGATGACGAAGTCATGAAGATGGAACTTTAATTCCTCACAAGGTCAGAACATCAAACCTACCTGACTAGATTTTCATTGTCTCCAGTCCCTTTGCAGGTAGCACATTCAGTCCTTAAATCCTCCGACTTGGGCTTCTTTTGTAGAACAGACTGTCGCTGTCTTCTTTCTCTGGGAATCCGTTCCTGTCATAGCAGAAGGCAAAAGAAAGGAATAGGGGGAAAGGAAGGAAGGAAAGCAAATATTTTGATTTATAGCACTGAAAGTAACACTTCAGACCAAAGTTTAATTTTTTTTGTGAAACTGTTAAAAAAAACAAACAAACAAACAAAACACTATATTCCAACCTCGGCTTTTTCTTCTTCAGGCACAAAGCTTCGTTTTCGTCCTCTAGTTCTCTAGAAGAAAATATATTTAAAATTCAATATTAGGTAACATAACGTTTTTGCTATTTATCTATTATTCATAACAACAACAAAAACATATCGCAGGAAATAATTTAAAGTATTTACTACAGAACTACTGCAAGACAACTACTGTAACAGATGTTAGAACAACAGCCTCAGATTCTGGATATAAATCTACAGAACTAGCCAAAAAATAAATATAAGTATGTTTGTTGACCTGAGCATGTGGAGCCTTATTCTAAAAAAGACTGCCAGCAGAATTACAAATCTCTTACAGACTTTGCACAAACTTCCCTATACTAAAATGCACAATTTGAAAATTGGTATGAACAGTACATTACAGTAAATTCCTTGAGCACTTGGAAGTGCTCTATTTGTAAGCCAAGTGATTAGATTCAAAAAAATTAAAATTAAAAAACTTCATCAAAACAGAAACAGAAAATAATTCTTATAGCTTTTGAGGAGTAAGCAAGAATTAAAGCTTTCAAACTGAAGCTTAATATAATGGGTATATGGCAGATGCTCATAAAGCTGTAGCATATACAAACATGACTGGTACAAAACAGATGGAATGGGTAATACAAAAAGTGGAAATTATTTCAATATTGCAGTTGGCCAAAAAATCTAAATACCAACAGTGTCGAGGAAAAGAGGTTTCCAGGAACTGCAACAGCAAACACCAAAGGTTTACAAGCAGCTCTAAGTAACTATATGCAACTCACACGTAAGTCCAGCTTCAGTCACTACAGTTTTATCTCTGAAATATCAGCATTATAACTGCCACAAGCTGACAGTATCACACTCTCTTCTCCTTGTTTAACAAGGATAGAAAATTAGAAGGTATGCAGAAGGAAATGAAAAACATCAAAGACTATTCCACTAATCCACAATGTCTGACACTAAAAAAATAAATAAATAAACAAACAAACTTTAAAATACTCTTTTTTCTGGGAGGAAATCATCATCTTAGGAAGTCACTTGTCCTATGATTAAAAAAAACACCACCTACTTTATGATTTCTTAAAACATTTTTTGAAGCAGCTAGTGTTCATCTCAGAAAAAGTAAAAACCAGCTGATCAAAAAAATCTTAAGCCAGTTGAGAATCACAAGCAGCCATAAACCTAATTCCGAAGAAACTAGTAATACCATGTTTCTCCTGTTTGGGGTCCTCTTTGAAGGGGATTTATACTAGTTTCAAATTAAGACTGTTCACTACTTTAAACCATTTTACACATTTAAATATAGTTATACTGTAAATAAACCTTCTACTTCAACACATCTATACCTTTCTACCTATGCAGATTTTGATCTGCGCATGTTAATAACATACCGTTTGGGAAGTTTTTTTGGTTTTAGGCAAGAGTTAACTCTGTAGTAGAAAGGAATGCAGTAGAATGAAAAACACTAGTCTATTTTGTGCCTCTTCAGAATACTTTAATGACCACTGAGGTTCTCTTTCACATTTCTCTAAAGATGATTTACAAAAAAATTGTAAAACATTACCTATTTAATACATATCAATATTTACTACACATTTAATAATATAGTCATAATTGAGGTGTTCTACCTTCCACAAGCCACACAGTAGATACATAAGAGCCCAAATCTGAAAGAACCAATTTATTACAAGTAACTGAATTTATCAATGTAATATTAGAGGTATTAATGTAACATGGGCTACATGTCAACTACATGTTACACAACCCAAGGTCACTGTAAATTAAAACTAGATGAATAGAAGTTTGATCAGACATCAGCACATTAACTGCCAATTTTACTACTTTCAACTTCTGGCATTAGTCCTAAGAACACTTACAAACCTTGACCATTTTAAGCCATGTAGACCTTGCTAAATGCAGCTGTGTAAAGATTAAAAAGAAGTAGGTGTAAAAGTGCATGCCAATACATGCAGTGTTATGGTCCTCATTCTCCATGTTTAAGCAGCAAGAGATAATAATGCATGCTTTGTACAGTCAGAGTAACGCCATCTTGAAAACTAATATATAATTTGGAAATATAGGTAACAATGAAATTGTTTTTTTACCCTAAGTGAAAAAGATTACAAGTTAATAACTATGTTTTAAGAAATGATGAATCATGTTTAAACTTCAGCAAAATGGAGAGACAAGATTTCTAAATAATTTAGTCACCTTTGTCAAGAAAATGTTGGGTTTCATCTGTCTGCTATATAATGTGTGATGTATATGACAAGGAACATCACATTAAATTACGCCTGCATTATGCTTCTATTAGATTAGACCTACATTAGACTTCTAAACCTTCAAACCTACTTGAATCTGTTTGATAATCACTAGAAAATGTTAAAATGAACACCTTTGACATACACATTTGCAGGATATTCTATATGCTTTTAAAGTAACAGAATTTTACCTTAATATTTTTCCAAACTAAAACATATTTGCAAGGCTAACTTCTGCTCAGAATCATTATACTATTACCAGCATTCACAATGGAAAATAACATTAAATTAACAATTGAAAATTGAATATTCTGTGACTTTCTACAATAGCCTTCCAGTAATTAGGCACTTGTAATTTTATGTATGTTTTCACTAAAGTTACCTTACAGATTCACAGAAAAGAATCGGATAAACCTGGATTACTTTGTCCAGTATTTTTCATTGCTGTTTGCCTCAAAGTACTGTATTTTGCATTTTAAAAAACTTCTGTCATTAGTGGGCTCAGAATCGGAACATAAGAGATTATAAGCATCAAATACTAGAGCTGCATGTACTTGCCATAAACAATTTAAAATTAAGATTTCTTTATAAAAGAGAAGCTTAATGGAACAGTGTTATTATATATGTCCAATGGTAAATACTACAACTGAGATAAACTTGTTCATATTCAGAACTTATTTGGAAACAGAGATGTTAATCCAGTATAAGATGCATATAAAGGCAGTGATTTTTTAATCAAAACACACTTGGCAATTCAATACTATAGAGATACCTTCAATTTATGACTTCTCTCTGTCATAAAATGGAGCAGATCAGTTTTATGAAATTTGTCCCTGCATTTCCAGAGCACTCAAACAATGTCAGGAAAGCAAAAAGTCATGTTATCAGCACCCAAGCAAAATCCCCATTAATGCCAGTGCTATCCCAGCAGGTTTTTTGTTTCACTCCAAAAGGTAGATATGCTCTAAAATATTGACCATTTAGAATGGACAACTCAGTCAAGAACAAAAACACAGCTAGATCTGGATTAGACGGATGCAACCCATACATGGCAACTGCCTCAAGATGCCACTTTAGGACAGGAATCAAAAAAAAAGTACTGAACAATGGAATGTGGTTCAAAATATGTAACTATGTCATTTTTTATATGTAGAGGTAAAAGGTTTCTGTAAAAAATTATTTCAGATGTTGACATTTAATGACAGCTGGTTGGCAAGTCTTTGGTTGCGTCTCATCCAAGGTTCTATACTTGCACAACTCTGGAATTCATTCAATGTGCACTCAAGTAAGAGACAAGTGTTCTATGTGCTCAGATACTTCCCTGCTACTAACAGGAGGATTCCAGCCACTGAGCTTTAGATCCCACAGCATCAATGGAATCACCATGCAGACACCTACAATCTGGTTACTACACAGGCAACTTAAGATTTCTGTTGGCAAATAAATTACACGCCTATAGCTAAGGGCTAATTAAATACTCATCCTATATAACCTTAACTACCCCAGAAAATCAGACAAACTTATACCAAGGTTGTAATCATGACACACAAGGTAGATAATATTTTTCATTTCATATCCTTTCACAATTAGGGACCTTAAAAAAATAAATATAAATAAATAAATACATGCTAAAAACAGCCATACTAGTCAAATTTTACTTCCTAATACTATACCATAATATTCCTATTCCTCCACTTCTCTAGTGACTTCTTAACCTCTCCTCTACTACATTCAAACCGTGTCTCCCAACATAACCCCAAGTTCTCCCCATGTTCCCCAGCTAAAGTGAGGACACACTAGGATAGGTTCCAAACTACACATGTTCCACACTGGACAGTGAGAGACGAAATGCAAAGGATAACCAAGTTCATAACTAAAACCTCTTCCCTACTCAGCACTCATCCTTCCCATCCAGCTGCTTTAAAAAATACCCAAGAACTTAATTACCTTAGGAGTACACATCTTTCTATCAAATCTTGCATAATGGGTCAACAGGTTACTAGAGGCGATGCTACTAGAATGGTAGGCAACTGCATAACTTATTTTTGTTAGAAAACCAAGTTAAAAGCTATTCTTTTCTGAAATAAAGAAGCAGTCAAAAGATCTAGCTGCTGTGTCACAAAGAACGTACCTTACACTGAACAGAAATAAAAGAGAAAAATGGTGTCTTATTTCATTAGCAATACATCCCAAAATAATCTGAGCAGACCAAGAAAGATCAATGAATTAAAATTAAGATGCAAGCATAAAATGAAAGCATTTTTAAACAAAAAGAAAAAAAAAATCAATAAAAAAGTTAAAAATAATAAAAGATAAAAATAGATTAAATTTTTAGCATAACATTTTGAGGGAAAAACCCCACCTCTATACGTCAGCAAACTGACTTTTAATTAAAACTCTTTAAAATCGCATAAGATGATGTTCCTCAGATAAACAGACTGAGCCATTTGGTTCAATGAAATCATCGAGGTGAAAGCAAGCCATCTTTTCCAAAAATATCTTACTAAGGTTTAGCCTTCACAGCAATCTTAATGCCCTCCCTCAGAAAAGATTAATGCTCTGGGTAAATGAAACCTAAAGATTAAAAACGTCCCCAAAAACACTGGTCTTTTACTTAAAAACTTGTAATCTATGGAAGTTGGAGAACCATTCCGCAGTATTAAAGCATACACCATTCCTCTGAGTTATTTCATTAACTTCTGACTTCACATTCAAAATTTGGAAGAAAAAAAAAAAAAAAATCTGTCTCTTGCTTCTCCAATGTTTTAAAAATTCACACAAAACATTACA